TCTGTTGGTCCAAAAAGTGTAAAAATTTAATACAAGGCTCCTGATATATTGTTACAATATCAGTTGCAAAATATTAAAAATACATAGGCACAATTTTTTTTTATAAGCATTCAAAGATCGAATTTTGACAAAATGTATCAAAATCTCGAAAATTATCAATCATTGTAATTAATAAATTATAAAATGTACAGTTTTTATAGCTAAGGATTGCTAATTTAAAACAAAGGTTCTCATAAATAGGTAACCAAAAAATCTAAAAAATATATGAACACAGTTATTTTTTACAGACATTTTAAATTCAAATTTGGACGAAATTACATAAAAAAAAACCTAGAATAACTTTTTTAGTTATTTTGTTGTGATTGAATAATATTATTCGTGGGTACTTGAAACTTCTAAAGTGTACTATTATATATCTATGATAGTATCACGGTTTTTGTTGATGTATAACGCGTTATTAGTACCTAATGGATATTGTGATATGATTAATTTGGCATTTATTATAGGTACCTATTGTCAGTCAATTTTTTGTTTATTATCATAGATATGTATATAATATGTCTTATACCTAGACTGACATACCGTCTCCCCTCAGAATCGTTTTTATTATACAATGATATTATATCGTTGTATTCAAATTTAATATCATCCAGTATACAGTGACCCACTTGTAACATACTGTACAGCAGAGCGACACCCACTTGCCCACCTTTTTGAGTTTGTCGTTTAGGGGATTTTTTGGGGGATGTCAGTATTTTTTTACACTGAAAATTATTATGATTATATATATATATAATAATAATAGTAATTACTAATTACAACTCAATTCAAATTATAACGTAGTTCATAATATGTATACTAGTAGTTGGTCCTGCGCACTTCAATGCTCAAACAAAAATGTCGACCGACCTTCCCCAGACTTCTGTTAATTTTTCGTCGCGTGATGTTATAATATAGCCTTCCTCGGTGAATAGACTGCCCAACAAAAAAATAATTTTTCAATTCGAACCAGTAGTTCCTGAGATTAGCGCGTTCAAACATAAAAACAAACAAACTCTACAGCTTTATATATCAGTATGAACATGGATGTAATGTTTGTTGGGTAAAACCACCCTTCTTTTTAACTGACTTCAAGCTAATAATAAGTGGTTACCTAATTCTATATAGAGATAATAAAGTGCAGGTAAACAAAAATGATTACAGTTTTACCAAATTATTAAATTTTTTTATATTTTTTTACCTAGTTACTATACTAAATGTTTTTAATAATTATTTTTACCTAATTACTACTAAATGTTTTTAATAATAATAAATATAATATAATTCAATAAATAGGTAATTAATAAATAAAAATTGAATGATTTTCAAAATATAAAAAAACCAACATTTTTGAGAAACTTGTCAGCCAACCTCCTCGTGGTGTTTCTTGGGTTATAGGCTGAATATTTTACAAAATATTGAATAAAATATATAATGACCTGGGAATCAACTCGTACGCACCTCTTAATGACCAGGGAATCAACTCGTACGTACCTCTTAATGACCCGGGAATCAACTAATACATGAGAAAGGTCTCGGGAATCAACTCACCTATTGCGGTTATTTTTTACAGACATTTTAAATTCAAATATGAACAAAATAAAAACAGAACATAAAACTTATGATTAACCATGTATTACATTTTCAAGCATTTCGTGTTTCGACCCAATTAAAATTATTGACATTTATAGATGCCTTTAAATAGCTCAAAAAGAATCAAAATGTTTTGAAAATGTTATTGTTTATATAAAATACCAATATAAAAATTCGGTAAACATGTCATGAATCTATATGGTTGTTTTATTTTTTACAGAGGTAACACCTCCTCCCAAAATATACACCAACTAGATTTACATAATTTTGATAAACAGTAGTTTATAGATCTCCCTATGAACTTTTTTTTTTATGTTTTTGCATTTCAACAAAACATTTGAAATTTATTATAGGTCAATTTTTTTTAATACCATACATAAGTATAATATATAAGTATGTATACTTTAGTATATAATATGTCTTATACCTAGAAGGACATACCGTCTCCGCTCAGAATCGTTTTTCTTATACAATAATATAATATCATTGAATTCAAATGTAATAGCATCCATTATACAGTGACCCACTTGTAACCTACTGTACAGCAGAGCGACACCCACTTGCCCACTTTTTTTTTAACTTGTGTTATTTTTCGGAAAAATTTACCTCACTTATAGGTATTATTTATTTTTCCAATTAAAGTATTAAACCGATTATTAAATTTATAAATAATAATTTTCTTTATTAGGTAATAAGGTAGGTCCAATCATGCCCAAGAAATACACCACTGCTACCAGAATCAACAGTTGTTTCATCATCTTGCTGGAATGCTGGACTAGGTTACTGAGTGGTTTTCTTTTTAACTAACTTTAGGCAATGATGTAGAGATAATACAGTGCAGGTAAACAAAAATTATTACAGTATTATACAAAAAACCAGGGCTTGAAACCGCTCCTGAAGAAATAGGTTACCGGAAAATTTTTTGGAACCGGTTACCGGGTATCGAGGTTTTTAGAAATAATGATAATCATTTCCCGCTTACCGAAATAAATTTTATAAATGGGATTACCGGTTATCTATTTGGAAGCGGTTTTAAATCTTCAAAATAATCGGTTACCTCACAAAACGGTTTTTTTTTTTTTTTTTTAATACCTACTCTATTTTTTTCATCAAACTTAACATGTCATTTTTGAAACTATTCATGCATTTTGTTGTGGTATGACTGGAGATAAGAAGAGGCGTAAAAAAAAAAAAGATTAAAAACAACAACTACATAAAAGTAGTAGGTATCTGGAGTAGTGGACAAACATTTCGCGGGGTAACCCCGTACCACTCTACTCCGCTCATCTAAACTTTAAATACTTATAACTCATAAACTAATTGCCCTAAATTCAATTTTTATGTATCGAAATACTCAGAAAAATATTCTGTTTTTGAATATCAAATTAAAATTACATGTTGTCATTCAAAAAAGTAAAAAACTTAAAAAATTAAAAGGATAAAAAATATTTAAAAATATAATTTTTTAATAAAAATATTGTTTTTTAATAACTTGAAACTATGCAAAAAAAATATTTTCTTAAACATTAATACTTTTTGAAATAATGAGTGTTCAATGATAAAAATATCACCCTGTATACTATTATATAATATATATGTATCAGCCCACATTCGTCGATGTTTCTACCATTCGTATCAGTATTCAGTACCTACCTATATAGGTACTGGCTACTGAGATTCTTTTGTTAGTGCGCCGATACGATTCCGCAATCAAACACGCTTGTTTTGGTATTTTTAAATTTTAATACTTAGTATTTCTAAAATAATCTATTTTAGTATTTTATAAATATTATTTTCTTCTATTTAGAATATTCAATATAATTAAAAAAAATTATTTTTACGTTAATTGGTTTGAGATTTACGATTTGTATACTTCCGATTAATTAACCGGTTCTAAAAATAAACGGTTACCGTTATAGATTTCCCCCTTTATCAAATTCCGTGGTTACCGGTAATTGATAATCGCTTCTCAAAATTGAAACTCGAGAACCGGGAAGCGGATACCAGTCCAAAAAGTACTCATGGTAACTGGTCACCGGGAAAAATCGGTTACCGGTTTTAAGCCCTGCCTAATATGCAGTAAATTCATTAAAACCCTTAAAAATTTATCAGGACATTTTTTTTCGAATGTTCAATAGTTTCCTCATGATAAATACAATAATCATCTACTAAGTGTTTAAAATATTATTATTTTTACTCAACGGACTAATTTAAAACGGTTTTATTGTTTCCTGAAAACCAAGTGAATTTTGCATAGTTACTGCTTTGTGGCTTATGGCGTCATCTCACTGCCGGCTCCCAAAAGTATATTGTAACGAAAAAATAAATTCAACCATAGCAATACTATGGTAGGTATACTTTGATTTTTTTGACACCACACCGGTCCTAATTTTAAACACTTTTCGGATAGCGACAACGCGTCTTCCGATTTTCGAAGGACGGGAGAAGCTCACCACGGTATATAGACATAAGTATATAACAAATAAATTACAATTCAATGATAGTTATCGAGGTATATTACAATAGGTAGGTACTCAAAACACGGTTAGTACAACATTTAAAGCTTTACACGTACAAAACAATTATATGATAATAGTATAACGGTATAGATAGTATAAAAAATCAATTATTACAATGCAATATAGTAGTATCGTGGTATACAACAATAGGTAGACAAGACGTGGTTAATACAATAATACAAAATTTAACATTTAAACACACGCAATACAATACATTATAAATGGATAAAGATAATATAACAAAATATTGCAAATAAATTATTACAATGCAAATGTAGTATCGTGGTATACAAGAATAGGTACAGAAGACATGGTTAATACAATAGTACAAAATTTAACGTTCAAACAAACACATGCAAAGCAATACATTATAAAGGGATAAAGATAATATTATAACAAAATATTGCAAATAACATATTACAATGCAAAGGTAGTATCGGGGTTTACAAGAATAGGTACAGGAGACATTGGTTAATACAATAGTTCAAAATTTAACGTTTAAACAAATGCGTACAAGACAATTACATAATAATATTATAAAGGTGTAAAGATAATAATATGAGAAATCAATAGTTACAATTGGCAATGGCGAGTGGCGGCACTTTGTACTTATGAAAAGTTCTAGTGCAGCAAACGGCGTGCATTGACGGGACGACGGACGGATGAATGTCCACACAGTGACGATATCAAAAAAGAAAAACGAAGTAGGCCGAACATTGACGACAGGTCAACGGACGGAACGATCAGGATGCAGGATACGGTAAAATCAGCTGGTGCAGGTGGTCGGGAGGCCCATGGCGTCTGTGACCTGCTGGTAACACGACCGCGACCACGGTACCTCGGCGCAAGTCATTCGATGTCGACAAAGCTCGCACAGAAACATATTCTGCGAGCCGCGTTCACCAGACACCTGCCGACGAATCGCTTGGACCTTTTCCAGGCGGATCTTCGCCGCCGCGGCTGCGCAGGTGTCTGCGGGAGTTCATCGGGCGAGACTTCGGGACTTCCGACGAGGAGTTCGATCGTCTTCGGTTGGCCGTACAGAGGCGATTCCACTGCCATCTCCGGGCACGACCGGAAGGGTCCCCGGCGCAAACTCGGCAGTCCGGCGGCCACAGATAACCTTCGTCCGTCAACGGCAAGGTCCAACGAGTCGATAGTGCACGGGCCAAGACTATTTGGTTCCCCGGTGGATGCTGGAATCGTCGAAATAGCCATCTTGCAGCAGTGCACGGGCGAATCAAAATCCAACTCCGGGGACGACCTGAAACGTATTTCAAGTCCTCCATGACGTGATGCGGGTAGTGGCGCTGGGAGCCTCCGATCGACGGCTAAATCCAGCACGTCGATAACAGATCGAAGTCCGGTCCTGGAACTCTTCCACGCGCATTTCCGCCGTGGCTGCTCAGGTGTCTGCGGGAGTTCATCGGGTGAGACTTCGGGACTTCCGACTAGGAGTTCGATCGTCTTCGGTTGGCCGTACAGAGGCGATTCCACTGTCATATCCGGGCACGACCGGAAGGTTTCCCGGCGAAAACTCGGCAGTCCGGCGACCACGGATATCCTTCGTCCGTCAACGGCAAGGTCCAACGCGTCGATAGTGCACGGGCCAAGACTATTTGGTTCCCCGGTGGTTGCTGGAATCGTCGAAACGGCCATCTTGCAGCAGTGCACGGGCGAATCCAAATCCAACTCCGGAGACGACTCGAACCGTATTTCAAGTCCTTCATGACGTGATGCGGGTAATGGCGCCGCACAGTGGGAGGATTTGACGTAATAGCGCGACAAAAATAAAAAAAAATATATCAAAATATAGATAAAAACTACGTAATTAACATTTGTTATTATCTAGTGGTCTTAAAATAGATGCTTATCTAAAATTATATTCGTTTATATCAATACTATTAGTAACCAGAGCGACGCTGCGACGGTAATTTTGAATAATCATCATTACCTACCTACACAGTACACACGGTTAATGTTAATTCTTGTTTTCAGTTTTACGAAATCTTAAATTATTAAGTTTATTTAGTTTATACATTTTATACAACGGAAACTATTGGACAAGGTATGTAATAGTTAATAATAATTTATTTAACCCTTCAATTAAAAATTAAATATTAAAACTGCAATTACGAAATACCAAAATAAATAATTTATTTTATAATTAAATTGATCTTAAAAAAAATAGCGTAAATTAGCACTCTAATTTTTATCATATAGTGTAAGTAAACTTACTATTAAGTCAATTTTAAAATATGATCTGCCCAAAATTGCCCATTTATGTGTAGTTATTTTTATAGGTATTACATACCGTGATTTATTCAATGCGCTGAGAGGTCCACAACGTCCACGACAGTTAAACCCGTGTTCCATCGATAGTCGTAAAATTTTGTTACATGGATCTATTGTAATAAAACATGCACTTGTACAAATAGGATTATTATCTGAAGAAGCGCAAGAAGCATGTAATAAAAATTATAAAAATTTTAGGGAAAATCATACTCGCAAAACATCAAGACTAAGTACCAATACTGACTTAATGCATGCTAAATTAATTAGTTCAGACTTAGTGATATCTTCTAAGCGAAAAATTTTGAAAACACCATTTACAGAATTACCATCCTCGGTAAAACAATTAATAATTACAGATAATGATGAAGAAACATTGATTCAGACGTATGTTCTGATTCAGAATAACATTTTTTATTAAATAAATACTGTATCTATTTACCTATCGTGTTTTCACACAATCATTAGAACTAAGCTATTTTATTAATTTTCTTTTGTAAATATAAACCTATAAATTATAACATATTATTTAAAACTATAATTAAATAAATATAATATGATTTTATTATGAAATATATTTTTGTCGCGGTAAAACCTCAATTCCTCCCACTGTGCGCCGGAAGCCTCCGATCGACGGCTAAATCTAGCACGTCGATGACAGATCGAAGTCCGATAAAACGTTCGTCCGACCTACGGCCTGTAACTTCCAACGCGTTGTTAATGTCCATTTCCAACAACTATTGACAATGCTACAAATGCTACAAATGACGTATTGAAGATATCCAAACTGGTTTTCAATGAACGTTATTGAGAGACTTGTCTCGTGGAACAGCGCTAAACAGTTTATGACGGTTTTCAACAAATTATTGGTCACCCACAAACAACAATCAATAGTATTGTTATTTTTCTGGTTTACATTGTGGCCAGTATACTAGTTGGCTTTCAGTCAGCTTGGAAAATATAGCAAATAGTCACAATTAAATCATAATTTAACAATAATTTTTTGTAAACATAAACCAACGAACAAGATAATGTCCTTAACATTCTACCGGTTTCGACGCAATCGGAATCATATTATCACACACTGTGACATGATTGAGACGAATGAAGTTTAGATTTCAAATCTATAACAATTTTGTACACAGTTATAACGATTATTATAGTTCTAGATTTAGGATCATATTTACGAGATAGTTTTACAGAATAATATAATAATATTGTTAATTTTAAATACTCGCCTATCAAATCATGTTGTCTTGTTTGGTATATAAAAATATATTGTCGAGTTCATTGTGACTTATTAATTTAAAAACTTCAGAAAAATTAATAAAAAAAATGTAAAAATAAAAAATAAAGCACAAATTGTAAAATCAATACATTCATCGCTCCGCTCAGAATCTAAAACTATTCTTTCGAATTAAATATAATGTCAACATCAAAAAAAAAAATAAATACCTATCCACTAAATAATTTACAGTAGGTAAAAAAGCGGTAAACGGAAAAGTGGTACGGTCTTTATAAAAGCGGAATACTGGTACGGTCCACAATATTCACCCAAAATGTTTTTACACTAGAACAGCAAAAATAATTTAGGCCCAAGACGGCTGACATACCAACGATGGATATAGGTAGTAAATCCCATCGCCATAGCCCATAACAGTAGCAAAAGTGAAAATCTAGTCCTTAAAACGTCACCACCGCTGTCGGTAAATGGATAAAATAAACAAAATTGTACGTCATATTATTGTATAAAATCTAAAAAAATACAATAACAGCAACATTATGGGGGAAAGTTTGAAAAACTAATAAGCGAAATTGAAATTCTTTCGTAACCTCAAACACTAAATATATTGTGTCACAATTTTTGTATTTTTTTTATTTTTATAAAATAAATTTAAATTAACATTCATACTAGGAATATAGTATTAAGCGTTACACCGAATATAAAAGTTCGTTCTACTAAGAATATTATGATTTTTCATTTTTAAAGTTATAAATTATGTGTTTCAAAATAAATTAAATTCAAATGTACAGAATAAAAGTTAATCTTACGAAAGTAGTGTTCAGCATTTAGTATATTATGAAAATAACGTTGATCAATTAATACATTGAAATTTATATTTTTGTTTAAATTTAATATTGAATATTAATCGTTACTAAAATTAAATGAGATTTTAAAATTTTGCATGATCAATGGGCCCATCAAATAACAAGAAATTGTTCAATACACTAAGCATCACAGATGCACAGCTAACTGCAAGTCTTCAAAAAAATCCAAATATTACATGAATACTCTTACTAAGTATAGGGTATAAGGTACCTATTGACTTTATTGTTTACGTATAGTTCAATAACAAATTGTTACAATCATTGAACAAGGAGAGATAAAATGGAACGATAACAGATCAAATTTTATACACCATTGGTATTTAAACATGTGTAATAATTTTATAAAAAAAATAGTGACACAGTATAAATAAGTATAAATTAAGTCTGTAAAATATTGTTAGCAAAATATTGATAACCATTCGATAAACAATACCTGCTTTTTTCTGGCTTTATCATTTCTAAGTAAAATGTATTAATCCAAGTTGTAAAAATCAATACATATATTATTCTGACAAAGATGTGTTTTATTTTTACACGACCACTATAATTTAGAAAAGGATATTTTTTTTTTATTGGTCTAAAGCATCGGCTAAAGAACAGGATTGTTTTAAAAATATAATTTTGTCTTATTGATTGGAAAATTATAATAATATTTCATTATTTGCATTAATATTAATAGTTTCCCTAAACATAAGGAAAATGTACCATCAACTTAGTGAAAATAAATAGTGAATTGTATACCTACTATAGGTATATACTATATAGTTTCATAAAAATAAAAATAGATTATACATTTTGTAAATAATAAAATAAATATTCATTTTTATTATCAATACTTAATATTATAATTGTTTATTTTATATTATATTATTATTGTTTATTTATTTATTTTTTTTTTTATCCTGTATACTAAATTTTTACCAGAAAAAGTGCTTAAATTTCAACGTTTCTACACTTATCTTGTAGGAAATTGGATCGAGATGGTACTTTAAAGAGGTAATTTTTCGATTTTCTCAATAGTTATTTAATGCCACGGAAAAACCACCGAAAAATTATGAATAACCTCTAAAAATTTGATTTTAATTTCTAACGCTTTGTTTATCGCCATAGAAACGAATAAAAATAATAATATTATAATATTAATTCAACTTACAGCCTATAATAAATAACAAGAATAATATAAATTATCCAGACTGACAAACCGTCTCCGCTCAGAATCGTTTTTCTTAAACAATGATATTATATCATTGAATTCAAGTTTAATACAATCCATTATACATAGAGCCACTTGTCACCTACTGTACAGCAGAGCGACATTCACTTATCCGTTTTTTTTTTTTTCAATAATCTAATATTATAATATTGAAAATGCATTATGAATAATGTACACATATATTATTACTAAACGAAACAAATATTATATTTTAAATCTTAGGTTTGTCTTACGTTATATATTAATTTGCTCTAATAAATTTGTAATGCACATATTGAGAGTGTTTTTAATCAAAACTTTCTAAGAGTGGGAATATAATACAAATAAGTGTATTCTACTCGTTTTGTACATGCATAAGTTTGTACAGAAATTGACCAAAACTGCACGAAAGATCTTTGTACATATTTGCCATTTGGGATGCATTACTGAATACTCAACAGCGTTGGTGTTTAAGGTCTTAATACAGACAACTTTGTACTACAGTCTACAATCATGTAACGGCTTAGCAATTAGTAACAACTAATATTTCCCTCAGGGTATTGGCAGTAAGCAAATAATCAACAGAGAATGCGATAAGTGGTGATCTCAAATGTTGTTTAGTTTCTACAACGTAAATAATTTTAAACCTAAGTTATTTTACAACAAAATGTAATTTGGGCCTAATGTGGTGAAATACCTTATTCAATGCTTTTATGTACCTACCAAAAATAACTTATTCGAGCCCTAACATTCGTCGAATACTTAAATAATTATTACTTGATTATATCATTGAGTTCGTAACAACTATAATAATATTAAAGTTGAAAAATGAAAATCGGGAAAAAAATATTTTACATTTGTATTTAATAATGGAACTGTGGCAATAATTCAAATTTAAGGTACTATATTATAATTAGTTCTATGTCGTTATACCAACAAGAAAATACTACTTGTATAATTGATTTATCGATTGTTCCCAAAATAATTACATCAAGTGTTGTCCAATTAATATTAAAATATTATGCTATACCCATTATTATAATAGTCTATGTTGGATTGGCCTACCTGTTTGATTTGATTTATTTATTATAATTATTACGGCCTAATAGTATCGCAGTTTAAATATAATTAATCAACTAAATATGTAGGTAAGTTTTCAAGCAACACACAGATTGTCAAGTTATCTGGCATGGCAATGCTGTTACGGTTTTACACGGTAAACTTTAAATCCCCGAAGCACCTCCCTCAAAATTCGAACTTGGGACCGAAATAGTTCCACAAAGCTCGCCGGTACGAATTTGGTGAGTAACTTTCAAAAACATCAATAAATAAATGTTTATCATTTATTACTGTTACTCGAGTATTAATAATAAAACATTAAACTGATAAGGTTTGTATTTTTTATAAGATTAGATACGATTATAAGGTTAATCGCTTATTGTTGATATTGATACGTAACCGGAACAATAAAAAATAGAACTAAAAAGTCAAATTCAAGGTGCATACCTAACCTAGTACCTTTTTTGTTGTTTGATATTAATGCTTCGACAGCGTAAGTTGTTAACGTGTCATCGAGATTTGCATTATTGTTTTTATTAGATATTTAGTATTACATTGTAAAAGGTTTTACAAATTATTAAATTTACAATTTTATATTACGCTTTTAAAAATAGCTTATTTAAGGTAGGTATCTAAATGAAACCGCGTTTATTTAAAAAAGTGCAGTCAGAATCTCTTATTATAATTTATCCCAAAAAATAATTAATTATTATTAATAATATTATTATACTTTGATTCGAAAACGTTTAAGATATTATCCCTTAAAAATCACTTATCTCTAGATAAATCGGCAAATAAATATAAAATATTCAGTCTCAAATAGTGTATACCTTATATTATACTCAATACCCACCATGTACACCCATTATGAGTTATGACCCTTACAATATTCGTAACCCAGGTTACCAAAGTGACGGCTTCAAGTGGAATAGAACCTATGATATATTATTAAATACTTCGATTAAAATTATTTTTAACAATTATTGTTTGATTAATGTATTATTCCGGGACATAATTTTGTTACTTTATTTATCATTTATCAATATTATACGTAGTTGATTATAATTTTATACTGTGTACATATTTCATAAAATTAATTATTTTTTCATACTAGATAACTTAATATTATTTTATTAAATATTAAACACGGAAAATCGTTTAAAGTTCCAATACGACAAGAACGCGTTTTTAAATAATTTTTGTTTCTAATATTATTTTCTTTCTCCGGAATGCATTTTCTTTTTTACTCACTATTTCATTTCATATAATTTATTTATTCATAGTAAGCTATACGTCAAGTAAACAAAGGTGATTTATTCCTAGAAAATACACAAATTAGTATAATATCTTTATTTTTAATATCAAAAT